CATTTTGTTTTTTTCTGTTTTTTTTAACGTGAAATTCTTTTATATTCTACCAAGCCTTACCATTTTTCGAGACTTTTGTTTTCTTCGGATGGTACTTTATCATTTATCATTGTCGACAAGAGGCAATCTCAGTATTTATCCGATTTCAGAAGTCTTATCAAGAATCGAACGATGACTATTTTTTTTACCATTGAAATATTTTAATTACTTTCAGACATTCACTAAAATCATTTTCTTTTTTTTTTCTTTCTTAAACTTAAAGACAATTCCCCCCGATTTTAAAAATCTAAATTTCTGGTTTGGGATTCATGAATTTTATAAATACATATAACGTTCACACAAATTTCCATTGTTCGGAATGTTGTCCTCAACTTTGCTGTCATATTCACGACGTTTCGGCGGTTGTACGCGCCACCCTTCTTCAGGATCCGTCTATATTTCTGAGATCAGGTAACTATTTACACTTATTTACATTGTTCGAACTGTTGTCCTCACCTTTGTTGTCGTATTCACAACGTTTCGACTATTGTACGCTCTGGCCTTCTTCAGGTGATTGGAATTTCGAATCCTTTATATCGTCCACCGGAGTAGATTGTTCTAGTTCCACGTGCCATGACATTTCTAGACATCTCTGTTTCAGTTATTTTCTTTTAGTAACTCAGTTCACCAAGATTTGTCTTTCACCTCTGCTGTGGCCAGATACTGAACTCAAGTCTTTGGGTCAACTCACCGGTTTATTCAATTTCCATTCGTATTACATTTTTCCGTCTCGGATGCCACCCGAATTTTACCAAAAACAAAATAATTTCCATGCCTGAAGATGACTGAATGTACAGTCGAAAGTACTTGCGTATTAAAGAAAGATCTTATACAGCTTATAATATTTTAAAAACAAGGATCATAATAATCAACGAATGATTTGTAGGTTAATGCACCTTTAAAATATTGTTAGCGAAGGGATTTCGCCAGTTTATATCATTAACGTTACTAATCTACTTTTTGTATGAATGATTCATTGCAATATATATATATATATATATATATATCTTTACTCAACACGCGAAGGCTCCTACTAGCATTCAAACCATCACAAAAATGCATCTCAAACTGTCTAAATATTAACAACACCAAAGCAAAACCCACTTGAAAATTGTCAAGAAAGGTGCCGAAAACGCTTGCGACAATGGACGGTATAGACAGTTTTGTGCACCTCCACTCAGACCAAACGAACGAACGCTAGAAAAACTAAATAAAAATTAACAAAATATTCCATGTCCTTCATATTTAAGAAAAGATGCTTAAAAGTAACGTTGCTATACAAATATACAGTTCTGTTCGATAAAAGTGACTCACCTGATATTTTTTTACTAAAAATTTTTGTCTATTGTTTTTGGGGCTAAAATAATTTTTAATCATACTAATATAAAGACCCCTTCCCGACCACCTAGGAAAAAGTTTATTCACCTTAAGGTATTCTATTGATAATTATAATTTTGGATATAAATGAGTTTCAGGAAAAAAAACTCTGCATTCTAATGATTAAACTCGTAAATTTAAAAAGCTTTCGACAAAATATTGAAAACTATTTTACAATACACTCAGAACAATATTCTAGAGAATTCTAGAACAGCTTAAATTAAATCTAGAGTATTCCAGAATATTCCAGAAAGCCCCATACAGTATAAAAACAGCTTGAAACAGACACTCAAGTCACTAACCAGATGAAAGGGTACAAACACGCATCAGAACCACTTAAGGCATCTATTATTGCCCTCTCAAAAGCAGGCAAGTCTACGAGAGAAATTGCAGAAATTGCTATAACCTCGCAATCAACTGTCTCTCGAGTGCTTAGGGCACATAATGATGCCACTCCTGCTCCAAGGAAAGAAACAAGGGGATGAAAGAAAAAGATTGATGATAGAACTGGCAGGGTAATCAAGAGAGAAGTTGTAAATAATAGGACTATAACTAGCCAAGAAATTGCAGACAGTCTAAACGAAGAGCAAGGTGTTAGTCTTGCCTCTTCAACAGTCCGTCGGTGGCTGTTAAAACAAGGCTACAAATCTTGTACACGAAGGTTTAAGCCGCTAATAAGCGAAGCCAACAAAGCCAAGAGACTTGAATGGGCTTACTATTACAAAAATTTCACCGTAGAAGACTGGAAGAATGTTCTCTTCTCCGATGAAACAAAACCTGAGCTAAATTCAAATCTTTCCATCGGAATCAAATTTATAAAAAAATTTAAGTATACGTTTTGAAAGCGTCGCCCATTTGACGACAATGTGACCACGCTCAAACGGAAAGCTGATCATTTAAAATTTTCATTTATTTATTTTGGATAAGACTTGTTTTTATGTCCATCGTTTTCGTCGTGTTATACTGATTATGTTAATTGTATTTTTAATGAATATTGTCCTGAAGAAGGTTATTAAACCGAAACGTCAGACGTCGACATTTCATTCATATTAAAACAACATAATCGCATTTTAAGGATTTTTGTTTTGTTTTTCCAGATATTTTCTTCATATATATATATATATATATGTATATATAGTATGAAAAATTGGAAACTTTTAATTGAATGTATGGATTGTATTATATATTAATTTTGTGTATGTAATCCCGAAAGAGCTATAAATTATTGACATTTGGAGAAAGATTCTTGAAAGTTCGTTACGAATTATCGGATTGTGTTATATATTTTATGCACGCTACTTTGATTAAAAGAGAATATAATCTGGAAAGTGCTATGATCGCTAGTTCAGCCACAATAAATCTGTGTCCAAATTCGTGCAATATATCACAATTCTTGGTGGATTTTCTGTTGTCACAGTGTGAGATAGTGAGGAACAATATTGATGGAGAGAGAAAGAAAAAAGAATACTGATGAATTTGACTAGTCTGAAAAAAATATTCTCTCTGAAGAAAAAAAAAAATTCTTTCAAAAATGTTGAAATTACCAGCGTCTCTCGTTTCATGCGCATGCGTAGACGTAACATCAACAAAACCCGGTCAGGTGAAATCTTAACGGATGAAACGCGTCACAAAACTTTTTTTCTAATTTGTCATACTATTCTTCTAAATATTTTTTGTTGATATGTAAAATCATACAAAATTTATACATCATTATATCATATATATATATATATATATATATATATTCATGCACGTTTCATTAAATAATATAGACAAGTGTTGTCTATTTATTTTATGTAAAAAATTTTTCATAACGTCTGATAAGTTTAATAATATTATCGTTGAACGAAGAAAGAAATTCACAATATTGATCCATATTTTTTTAATACAATCTAAGCTTTCGGCTTACATCAGCCATTATCAAAGATGTCAATTACAACATATTAAACAATATACGGACACGACAGTGATGATAGTCTGTCATTGTTTACATAGATGATTTCTAAGCAACGATAAACACGCTTAGAAATCATCTCTGTAAACAATGAGACGTTACAGAAAAAATTTCACATAAAATAAATAGACAACACTTGTCTATATTATTTAATGACACGTGCATGAATGAAAAGATGCTGCCTAAATACACACACATTATATATATATATATATATATATATATATATATGTGTGTGTGTGTGTATGTGTGTGTGTGTGTGTGTGTGTGTGTGTGTGTGAAAAGTGTATATAAATATAAACAAATATATATATGTATAATTATTTATATATTATATGCGCGGTACTTATTAGAAAGCTCTCAATATCAGAGATAGAGCTAACATATTTGGTTGTATAGATGTGAGTTTGTGACCCTGGGTTTCACGCTTTAGCGATCGTCAGACAAATTAAAAAATTAAAATTTTGGTTTATGTAGATTGCGTGTATTGGTGTTATTGCGGAAGTCTCCGATCCCTTGAAACGTTACTATCACATCATATCATATAGACCAGTTATTAAATTGAACTACCCTCTCACCCAGCACATTGAATATTAAACATCACCATATAAATTATCTAACAAGGATTACAAATTTCTACCTGTTACATATACACAGTCACCAAAAACAAACAAATAACCAGCTTTAAATATAACAAATAAACCCCCATTTTTTTTTCAAAAATTTAAAAATAAATATAAATAATAATAATTTTTACCTATCATAATTTTACACAAACCCCACCACACGTATATACATACATGCGAGGAAATATTATTCAGCGGAAAAATAAATAATATGACATGTATACATTCACGAGACATTAAAGAGACATTTCCGCCACACTTCCAATCTTTAAATTTCAACATTTCAACATACAAATGCGTATGTAAAGACACAACACCACACGTATACATACATATGTCATATCCGAAACTGCCCACATATCTTTATATATGTATGAGTCCCGACGGACGACCAAGTATGTATATGTGTCTGCATACATCGATGTTTGCGTTAGTACGATGAATGACAAAACGACGAAATTTCCCCCACCACTTCCACAATAACACCAATACACGCAATCTACATAAACCCAAATTTTTTAAAACATTAATCAGTTTGTCTGACGATCGCTAAAGCGTGAAACCCAGGATCACAAACTCACATCTATCCAAATATATATATATATATATATATAAATATATATATATATATATATATATATATTGTATTTGGGTAGCAATCCCATTTTTATACAAGTTTCATTAGAATGACTGACAAGGTACTGCAGTTAAGTTTTTTTTATTTCATTTTCTTTGTGTTCTTATATTTTTTCTTTTCTGGACATAAATTCTCTAGTTCGAATGTTCTGTATGTCCGAGCGCTTTCGGCTATATCTTTAATTATTATCAACGATGGTTTTATTTTGAATTTTAACTGAATGTATCGATTGTTTTATGCATGTATCTAAAATTATAGGAATATTTCATTTTCCGAACACGGTCAGCATATTGTGGCCGTGTTCACAGTGGATATTATTCATTGTTGATTTTTTCTTTTTTTCGCTGCTAAGTTATTCTTGTTGACGATGAGGTTATCTATCTATCTTTTCTCTCTCTCTCTCTCTCTCTCTCTCTGTATATATATATATATATATATATATATATATATATATATATATATATATATATGCACACATAGAGTGTCCATAATGTTCCTGTGCAGTTTAAAAAATTTATAACTTTATTTGTATTTGCGATAGAAATAATTTGTAAAAATGTTATAAAGTTTAATGTAGCTAGTTTTAAGTATAGCTAAAATAACTGATGTGATTTCAGGCATTACTGTAATGTAATTTCAGTTGGCAAATGTTTTCCGTGAACTACAAAATCGTATTACCCTTTGTATGGCTAATGATGGGGAACATGTGGAAACTTAAATAAATTTCAATAAAACCTTAAAAAATATAGATTTACTTCTTTCTAATCGTTTTTACAAATTATTTCTCTCAAAAGTACAAATAAAGTTAAAATTTTTTAAAGTGCACACGAATTTATGGACACATATATATATATATATATATATATATATATATATATATATATATATATATATATAAGTGAAGATTGACGTCAACACTTAGAGGCGACAGTCTGCTTCATGCTAGATGCAATCGTCAGGCCACGATTGCATTTAGCATGAAACAGACTGTCGCCTCTGTTGACTTCAATGTTCACTTTTATATTTACACACGCTCTATCTCTGATATTGAGCACTTTATCTCATAAATATAGCACACCTTAAGACTATATATATATATATATATATATATACATCAAATACTAAATCAATTTTGATTTTATAATGTACACATGTACACCTTGTCTTAGTAAAAATACAAAAATACAAAAATCGGAGTTTCAGGTTGATCAATTTTTGCCTTGTTCTGTATATATATATATATATATATATATATATATATATATATATATATATATATATATGGTCAATTTTTGCCCTAAACGTTCTATATATATATATATATATATATATATATATAGTCAATTTTTGTTTGTTCTATATATATATATATATATATATATATATATATATGGTCAATTTTTTGCCCTGTTCTGTATATATATATATATATATATATATATATATATATGGTCAATTTTTGCCTTGTTCTGTATATATATATATATATATATATATATATATATATACAGAACAAGGCAAAAATTGACTAATATATATATATATATATATATATATGTGTGTGTGTGTGTGTGTGTGTGTGTGTGTGTGTGTGTGTGTGTGTGTGTGTGTGTGTGTGTGTGTATATATATATATATATATATAAAGAACAAAGGCAAAAATTGACCAACTCCGAAAATCGATTTTTGTAATTTTACTTATACAAGGTGTACATGTGTACATTATACAAATCAAAATTTGATTTAGTATTTTTTGTGGTAGAGGTAACCTTTTGCTTTAATATAATTAATTCTTTGTGGCATGCTATAGACTATAGTCAGTGAGTTCTGACCTGAACTCAAGTGAAATCCTTTAGGCGTAATAGGAAAGTTAACACAGAAGATGAACTTTTTCGCGAATTAAAGGAATGCTTGAGAAATCTGTCGAAAAACGTTGACTTGGTAAAGAATTTAGTCTAAAGCATGCCACGATGAATTAAGACCGTTATTAAAGCAAAAGGTTACCTAATAAAATAGTAATCATTTTTGATTTGTTTAATGTAAATAAGTAAATCTGTATTAATACCCTGTATTAATAAACGATTTCTGTTACTTATCTTACTAAAAATACAAAAATCGCCTTTCTATGAGTGCGTCCATTTTTTTTCTCGTACTGCATATGCTATTTGCATGATGAGGCACGGTGGAGTAATGGATAGCGGCTTGGATTGGGGAATCGGAGAGCCAAGTTGGAATTCCAGTCGAATCCATTACATTCACTTACGTGCTAACACCCTTGGGAAAGGTGTGAATCCTCTATCTTCTCCCTCCAGCTATGGTTAAATAGCAGGACAGAGTGGGTTCTATAGCCTTGGATGGCAACTGGTCTAGAATTCAAAACCTGCTCTTAGAGGAGGGTGAATGGAGTCTCTCTGAGCCTTGGTTGGCAATCCATTTAGTGTTGGTGTCACGATAAAAACACCCTTGATAGCCCTAGCGAAGCATCAAGAATTCAGCTACTTGACAAGATTAGGAACTACACCAATCAAAATATTAGTGAGTTCAATCTCGGCTGAGGCCGCAAGATGATGATTTACATCCCGTACTTAATGTGCCATGCCTCACAGGGTCGCTCATTGGTTGGACAATGGAAGACCACAAGAACACATCATAACACAACGCGTCTTTGTATCAATGATAAAACAAAAATTCCTAACATGAAATGACTGCTGAGGCAACCACACGATTTCCAGCAGATTTCAGCCGGGCACTGACAAAAAAGGCAGATGTGAGGCATGAAAATGATACAAAATCATAAAACGAATTAGCGTGTTATAAAAATATATATATATAAATAATCAAGATACTCAATAGTGATTTTTTTTTTTTTTACTTTCGTCGACTCTCCTAAATTTTAAATATACCAGCTGAAGTACCAACCTATCCCAAGAAAGTGCTCAATATACAGATCACTGCTGTTTGTAATGGTATCAGAACTTTTCTTTCGTATCTTAATAGTCGTCTGCTTGGGCACTTCGACCTGGTGTAATGGTTAGGAAGCTGGTCACGCAAGATCAATTACGACCGAGTAATGAGTTGGATCCACGCGGCGTACCCCATACATTCGGCCTTGTGCCATATCTAAGCTACGCTTGGAAATCATTTATTGGGTACTTAGAGAGGTGTAATGATTAGTAAGCTTGTCTCCCTAGATAAGTTGCGATTGAATAGTGAGTTCGATCCTCACTGGATTCCCAATACATTCGGCCTTGAGCCACATCTAAACTCTATATAATAAATCACTAATGTCCAGCGGGTATGATTCTGTCAAAGTCTCGTTATATTATGTGAAACTTCACTCTCTCTCTCTCTCTCTCTCTCTATATATATATATATATATATATATTGTTTAAAAATATGATCCCTTCGCTACATAAGAGTTCTCATGTTTCAAAAACGAGAGCCGAAACCATCCAAATAATTATTAAAATTAAGTTGAATTGAGGTGTTTAGTCTCGTTTCATCTTCAAGCGAAATTTTAGGAATAATCTATCTCTCGGTTTACGTGTGTTTTTAGGCATGGTCCGTTGCAACATTCGTTATTGTGGGAGTGGCTAGACTATTTTTCTTCGTTAAGTGGTCAGAGAGTTAATTCTTATCAATAGATTCATCATCTTCTGAGAGGTTTTGCTAAGGTTGGGTAGGGTATCTATTTCAAAGCTAATGTTTGCGGTCACCCTTTAGTTGGTTCCCAGTGAGGGATATTTTTATGGCGCGCCTACAAGTCATTATGTGTCAGGACGATTGTGTTTTATTATTGTCCATCTGATTATCTATTTATTTATTTGTTTATTCAAGTGGGTGTTTTATATACAAACCGTATTGCACTGAATTTCAATTTGTTTTTTGACGACTACAGAAAGTGTTTTTCCTATTTAATGATTTGGCTCAGCTTTTAAGACTTTTATTAAGCTATGGGATTTTTTTTATCATAATTATTTAATGCGAAAGTTTGTTGATGTCGGCAAAAAACCGTTAACCCCTGCCTATGGTTTAATAATTTTTCATTATTTAGAAATTTAATGATGTGTAGTTTTTCGTGTAGGCATAAAGGGCATGGGTCATCCCAGGTTTTACAATTTCTTGTTTTATTTACTATTTTCCATTTTACTTTTGGAGTTTTATTCGTTTCTTTTAGATGCCAGAAATATTGGGACAGAGATGTCTGATTTCTATTTTGAATATTGTTGAAGGAGCTTTTGTGTTGCCTCCATCTAATTTTAAAATTATTCTTCGTTGAGCCTATGTATATCCTATCAGTGTTAGGACTCTCAATGAATGAGATAGTGCATTGGTATACCACCGATTTTGTGAGGCATTTATTTTCCAACGGGCAGTTTTTAGGGTTTCTACAATCACATAATTTTTCGTTATTTTTATCTAATTTTAGTTTATGGGTCTTATTACTGTTTTGGATATATATATATATATATATATATATATATATATATATATAGGGAGCAGTAGAGAGGAAAATTGGATCAGGAGGTCAAAACAGGTAAAGCCAAATACATTCTTGTTGTTCAGAGTAGAGTCCAATAGTGTTAAAAAACCTCGGAGAATTCCAGTAAGATAGCTTTAATCATTTCTAAGATACAACGGTTCAAAGCTTAATCTAACAATTGGACAATTTTGCTATTAACCCCGGTATATATGTGGGCATTGAAGTCAACAACCAGAGCTTACAGACTGTTTCATGCTTAAACGCCACCGTATGGCCTGACGATTGCGTTTAAGCATGAAACGCACTGTCACCGCTGTGTGTTGACTTCAATATTCACTTTTATACTTTATACTAACAAGTGGTGAAACTTTAGATCGATTACTACAATCTGTACATAAGGAAAATCGAATGAAATTGGCTGCAGAATAAATAAAGACTGATTTTTCAACCATTTTTTTAACAACTGCCAGACTATTCTAATAGACATCGATGCTTTAAGGAATAAAACTGGCAAATTTGGCACATTATGTCGTGCAAGTTTTTCTCTCAAAAATCATAAACATTTATAAGTCTACGATTCGTACTTGCTTTTGGGCACATATGATCTGGGGTCTCTGTTATTTATGTAGCTATCCTTGATAAAAAAAAAAATTTTTCTTAGAAGAATCGGCAAAATTATTGATCCTGATCTGGCATCTCGGTTTTAGTCGCTTTCCCACCGCCGTAACGTAGCTTCCCTGTGTCTTTTCTATGATTAATTTCACGCTAATTGTTCTGATACCTATTCTGCTATAGTACCTAGGCTTTTAAATATAGGCACAATACTAGATTGGTGCCAAGGTGTCGTCATTTCATAGTTGAAATAGATGTAACCGCAAGTTCAATGCTAACAGTTTCTTCTCTCGCACATCTCGCTTGTGGAAATCTCTTTCGGCTTCTTGTTTCCGAGTCAAATTTGATATTCAAAAATTTAAATGTAATGTCAATCGATATCTACTGTCTTCTTAATACTTGCTCTTTTATTATTCTCTCTCCTTAATATTATTTTTCTCATAGTGTCTAACACTCAGTAACCTTTTGTATCCTAGTGGCTTTATTGCCTTATTCGGGTGAAATGATTAAAAGCCATCGTTCAAAAATACAAAAAGATTATTAAAAACTATTATTCAGCGTATATCTAGGCGAAGAAATTAATTAATGATTGAATTAATTGTGCTAAAAAAAAACATTCGTTTGATAATGTTGTTGGTTCGTTCGCTTGACTTTACCCAGTTTGAAAACCTGTGGAGCGTTCTGAAAATGAAAATTTACATTAGCCATTCTGAATGGTACGCTGCTTGCTTCATGGAAAGAAATAAAACAGCTCACAAAATCAATGGATTGACTTCTAAAACCTGTTTCAGAGTGCAGAGCATACATTTCACATTAACGTTGCCTTTATAACATCATTACAGGTCATTTTTTTTTAAATCAGCCGCCAATTTGACCTTATCGATCTGATCAGACTTACTATCGTGGCAGGAGTTAATGGCTGTGTCATCGGCATAGATACCAAATTGAGAGCTAAGACCATCAGGAAGGTAATTTTTGAAAATTAAGAACAAGGAAAGACCAAGGATAGAGACGTTGGGGGTCATCTGCAAAAAGGATTTAGAAGAGCAGTCATTCAGAAGAACTTTAATTTCGTGATTTAATAAGAGAGAATGAATCAGATCAAAGATTCGTCCGAAGATCTTTCAATTTGGGAAGAAGAAAGGTATGCCACACTCTGTCAAACTCTTTCGAGATATCCAAAGCAACAGCCCGAGCTTCACTGTTCTTGCTCGATAGACATTTTGAGCAATAAACGTTAATGCATCAGCAGTAGACCTAAAGAAGCGAAGTCATATTGCTTGTCTAAAAGAAGGCCATGAGATATGAGATGCTTAACCACTTCAGATTTGATTAGAGTCTGTAATAGTTTAGCAAAAAGAGATCGTGTGTACGTATGCACCAGCAACGAACCGAGAGAAGAATGAATGCAAATTCATAATAAATTTATTTTTCTTTTAAATTCAAACATTGTTCTTCCTTCGATTTTTTTTAAGAGCAGAAATCACAAAATTACAGCAAATTGTCTCCTGGGGTCCCCTGCATGGGAAAATCTGGTATGATGTCGATAAAAAAAAAAGTATTGTCTAATTGTAGTTTTATAGATATTTAAGATAATTCTGGAGAGAAAAATTGACTAGCTCAACACGGTGAATCAACTTTCTCAGCTGCAGACTTAGCAATGAATTCGATATATCCTTACTTTGTCACATCAGCCGAGAATTTTACCCCATGATGTTCAACGAGTTACTCACCTGGAGGTTAGCATCAACCATGCAAATGGGAGACAGATGGAAACACTCAGCTGATTAGATAGGGTGGGGTTTCTTTTTGCAGCCGTTAAAATTAGCATGTCTTTTCCCAGTTAACAACAGGCTAACGTTCCTTTTTCGGGGTTAACTGCTAATATCGTGAAAGGAATAAATGATTGTGTCATCAGCATAGATGCCGAGTTGAGAGTTGATGACATCACGAAGGTCATTGATTCAAATTAAGAACAAAGTAGGTCCGATAGTAGAACATTGTGAGACGCCTGCGTTATTACAAAAGGATCTAGAAGAGTTGGCGTTAAGGGCAACTTTCATTTCGCGATTTGATAAGAAAGACTGAATTCATTCCAATATTCGTCCGGAGACTCCATAACCTTTCAAACTATGAAGAAGATCAGTATGACAAACCTTGTCAAACGCTTTCGAGATATCCAAAGCCGTAGCCCGAGCTTCACTATTTTAATATCAAGTTTGATAGACTCTTTAAGCAATAAACGCTAATACACCAGCAGTAGACCTAAAGAAGCGAAAGCCATATTGCTTGTGTAAAAGAAGGCCATGAGATACGAGATGCTTAACCACTTCAGATTTGATTAGAGTCGGTAGTAGTTTAGCAAAAAGAGATCGTGTGTACGTATGCACGTATGTGCAAATTAGATTTTTCCAGCAACGAGTCGAGAGAAGAGACATTACGTGAATGCAAATTCATAAATTCATTTGTCATTTAAATTCAAACATTGTTCTTTCTTCGATTTCTTTTAAGAGCAGAAATCACAAAATTAACTGTTAATATCGTGACAAGAGTAAATGGGTGTGTCATGAGCATAGATAACGAACTGGGAGTTGATGCTATCAGGAAGGTCATTGATGGAAATTTGAAAAAAAGTAGATCCGATGGTAGAACATTGTGAGACTCATGCGTTATTACAAAAGGATCTAGAAGAGTTGGCGTTAAGGGCAACATTCATTTCGCGATTTGAGAAGAAAGACTGAATTCATTCCAATATTCGTCCGGAGACTCCATAACCTTTCAAACTATGAAGGAGATCAGTATGAAAACCCTTGTCAAGCGCTTTCGAGATATCCAAAGCAACAGCCCGAGCTTTATCCTTCTTACCTAAAGCTCGATAGACAATTTGGGCAGTAAATATTAATACATAAGCAGTTAACCAAGGGAAACGAAAGCCATATTGCTTGCCTGATTTTTAAAAGACCTTATCCTGTGATACAGTCGTCCCTCATCTCTTCGCGCTTCGACTTTCGCGGCTTCACTCTATCGCGGTCCCTCGCTGCTTCGCGGTTAACTACAATCTACTACAAGGTTGAAAAAAAGTTTTTGGCCAGATAGCAGGTGCAGACACACAGCCTATCCTTCAAGTCGAGGGAGAACATGGCTCTCCACAATTTCATCTCCTTTGTAACTCTGAGTAAATTTTGTCTTTTTCCTATATCTCCTAGTCCCTGTTCTGTCGACCATTTACACAAGCTCGATCCTCTTCTTGTATTGGCAGTCTCTCTTCAAGAGGTAGGCGATCATGGCTCTCCACAATTTCCTCATTTTTGCAGCCCTGATATATTTCCTAATCCATGTTTAGCTAACCATTTATACAAGCTCGTAGGTAGATTATCCTCTGTTTACTGCTGCCCCACTTGCCTTCAATATGTCTTGTGAGTATCAAATTTTCCAAGCCCTCTTTCCTTATTATGTGCCCGATAAATTTCAACAGTTTCTTTATGGTGCTACGTACTGTATATGTGTGCTATTAGCAGGGGGTATTCATGAAAAATGTTGTTTTGTATATTATTTACATTATCCTTTAGTTAAAGCTTTAAGAACACCAGAAAGCTGTAACATGGGGGGAAGTGGAAATATCATGCGTGGCTGATCGCATATCGAGAAAAAAAGAGAGATCACCGCCATCTGTGGGATCAGGTTGAGATCATAGACAAAGATAATCACTGGAAAATTCGTAATCTTAAGGAATCAGCACATATGCTAGGCCACAAAAATCTCCTGAGCCAACCAAGCATAGAAATGAATACAGTATGGGAACCAGTAATAAGGAGTGCCAGAGAAAAGCGATAATAATAACAAAAATTGCAATATGAACTTTGGTAAAAACATGAAATGATAACAGCAAAAATTGCAAAATGAGCCCTGATAAAAAAAAAAGGTTGCTGATGACATTAGGTTTATAATAGCCAGAAATTCATACACATATGTCCTCAAGGACACATGGCACAGCGGATAAAGGTGTTAGTTAGAACTGAGAGAGGGGAATTAACGGGAAATAACTGACAACTGTCATCCATTAAACATGGCACGTGGAAAAGTCTACCCCAGTGAGCGAAATAAATGGTTCAGTTCGACAGAAAGCCGGAGCGTAGAACGGCCGAAACGTTGTAATAAATATGGTGGCAAATATGCGGACAATAGTCCGAATAATGTAAATAGTGTACATAATACCTCATCACAGAAATATAGACAGATAGTGAAAGGCCGAAACGTTGTAATAAATATGGCAACAAAGATGAGGACAAAAGACAGAATAATGTAAATAGTGTACATAATACCTCATTTCAGAAATATAGACAGATACTGAAGGGCCGAAACGTTGTAATAAATATGGTGACAAAGATGAGGACAATAGTCAGAATAATGTAAATAGTGTACATATTACCTCACCTCAGAAATATAGACAGATACTGAAGGGCCGAAACGTTGTAATAAATATGGCGACAAAGATGAGGACAATAGTCAGAATAATGCAAATAGTGTACATATTACCTCACCTCAGAAATATAGACTGATACTGAAGGGCCGAAACGTTGTAATAAATATGGCGACAAAGATGAGGACAATAGTCAGAATAATGTAAATAGTGTACATATTACCTCACCTCAGAAATATAGACAGATACTGAAGGACCGAAACGTTGTAATAAATATGGCGACAAAGATGAGGACAATAGTCAGAATAATGTAAATAGTGTACATATTACCTCATTTCAGAAATATCGACAGATACTGAAGGACCGAAACTTTGTAATAAATATGGCGACAAAAAGATGAGGAGTCAGAATAAGTCCGAATATTCACCTCAAATAGACAGATGCTGAAGGACCGAAATAACCTCATCTCAAAAATATAGACAGAATAATGTAAAAGGCCGAAAATTCAGAAATAAATAGTCCCAATAATGTAAATAGTGTGCATGAGGGGAGAACTTTTACAAAGATGAGGACAATTGTATTGTAAATATCTCAGACCTCATCTCAGAAATATAGACAGATACTGAAGAAATTTGTAATAAATAGTTAATAGATGTGTCCTTAGGAAACAATAGATTGAGAAGAAATAATATAAACAATAGTTCGAATAAATAAATAGTGTGCATAATCATCATCTCAGAAATATAGACAGATGCTATTTTCGTGTATTTAAGTAAATAATATTTAAAGTAAGCTCACAGTATACAGTCGTCCCTCGCCACTTCGCGCTTCGACCTTCGTGGCTTCACTCTATCACGTTTTTTTTTCGATCTTTTCATTAAAAAATCATATCGCGGTCTCTTGCTGCTTCGTGTTTTACTACCGTTTACAACAGGGTTGGAGCGTGCTGTTCACTGATTGGCTATTGTTGTGGCTGTGCATTGAATCACTTGTTGGTGATGTGTTTGCCTACGTGTTACTACAAAGGAGTCAGCAAACAAAATTGTGCAGAAGATGTTATGTAGTCAACAAAACAACAAGGCAGCAATATTTTATTAAAATAAAGCCAAATTTTATCTTTGCCAACATATATTATATCTGTAACTTATGTCTTATTTTCTCTTATTTTGACTAATATATTGAATAATATAAGTGTAAAGATTAATACAGGGGTATTATTTCATGCCCATAGAGCTCTTATAATGTCAAGAACTGTATTTAGATCATAAACAGGTTTATATACTCTAACTACGAAAATATTCAGGTAATCCCATAAGTTCTGTCCGAATTTTGAATAAAGAAAACAAGTGACCAAATGTTACATTTAATTACAAATTCAATCAACAATGTATTTTCTCTGATTATCTATGACTTCTTTCCATCTATTAACACGCTTACTAATTCCATTACTGTAAAATTCTTTTGGCTTCGATTCGAAAAACTCACAAATGTCAGTTTTAACCTCTTCCTGTGTTACAAAAGTTGTTTCTTCCAAATGATTCTGTAAGCTACGAAACAAATGGTAGTCTGAAGGAGCAAGATCGGGAGAATAAGTTGGATGAGGAATTTTCTCCCAAGCAAGTTCTTCGATCTTTTGTGACGTGATTCTTGCTGTGTCGGGTCGCGCATTATCCTGATGAAACATCACCTCTTTTCGATTCACTAGAGCAGGTCTTTTTTTACTCAAAGCTTGGTTCAAACGCTCTAATTGCTGACAGTATATTTAAGCATTAATTGTTGCATTAGGTGATAAGAATTCAAAGTGGATTATTCCTTGGCGAACCCACCAGATTGAAAGAAGAACCTTTTGCCCATGAAGTTCCCTTCTCGGCTGTGGCTGGGGTCCTTCCTCTTTACCAAGCCACTGTCTACGACGCTTAACATTTCGATAAAACATCCATTTTTCGTCGCCAGTCACAAGTCTATCAAAAAAGGTGAAACAAAGTTGGCGAGAATGGAGAAGAGCAGATGTCAACTCAGGATTTGAGGTTGTTTTTCAAACAATTCAAGAGGCACCCATTTTCCAAGTTTAGGAACTTTTTCAAGTTGTTGAAGATGACGATGAACAGTTGTATGGTTTGAACTGAGAACCACTGCCAATTCCTCAACTGATAAAACAGGATTTTCTTCAAGGTCTGCTTCAAGAAGCTTTTCATCAAACTCAACTGGACGTCCGGTTCGATCTTCATCTTCAAGGGTGAAATCTCCACCTCTGAATTTTTCAAACCATCTTCTGCAAGTTCTTTCATTCACACGTTCCTCTCCATAAACTGAATGAATGTTTCTAGCCGCTTCGGCTGCTGAGTTTCCTTTCTTGAACTCATAATGCATTATGTGCGTCAAAGGATTCTTGGATACTTCCATGTTAGCAGGGTTTTGATCAAACAAAATTTAATAATATAAAAAATTAAATAAAAAATAAATAAAAATTTGATCAGTTTAAATGCATTTAAACATAAAAATAATGTTCAGCTCCATTAGACATTATAAAATACTCTTTAAATTTCGTTCATTTTTAACAAAAAATTAAAATTCGGATTGAACTTATGGGATAACCTGATATATATATATATATATATATATATATATATATATATATATATATATATATATATATATATATATATCATACAAGTATAGGATTGGTGTATACGGAATAAATTCCAATAACCAACAAATACTATTCTTAAAATAGTGCTCAATACAGAATAGAGCAAATATATTTATTCATTCGAAAATCATAACATAAATATGTTATAAGATCACTACAAAAATAGCTATTTTGTTTCAACACTTCTGTTGTCTTATCAACTGATGGTGTTGAATGTAAAATAAAGGGTTTTAAATGGTTCAAATCAAATTGATTTGAACCTTTAAAACCCCTTTCGAATATATATATATATATATATATATATATGATATCGACTCTTTCTTTGATTTCGACGTATGAAGATCTGACAAACACTGGTTTTATGTTTGTTTCGTTAGAGACCTGTATACATAAAAGTCCACATATTTCGAGATTTCTGATACCATCCAGCCCAGTTATTTCTATCCAGAGCAAATCGGTCGACAGTAACCTATAGTTGGCAGCAAGCCTCTGATTGGGATGTTTTTAGGTTTTGAAGAGTGGAAAACCGCCTCTTAATTGCTGTTGTCCTCATGTCCATCCTGACCCGGGATGGTACCACCTGTTAGGATATCAACTATGGACATATATAGAACCACCCCTACCATGAAATTATAAAAATAGGTTTTTATAGTAAAAAAAATAGAAGCACATATATTTTCATAGTAAAATAGTTAACAAACTA